GTGTCTGTCTGGGTAATGACGTCATGTAGCAATGCCTGGCTTCTCTCCCTAACGACTAGCCTCCTTAGAGTTTCTTCAGCCCAGGAACACAACTTGCTTTATTGCCAGGTAGAAACATGTTGGTGAAGTGGTTTCCCATGCCTTATCTCACTTGATCCTCACAGAAATCCTGGAGTAGGTAGATAGGAGACTCAGTGGAAACCTATTTTCTTTTCATTAACCAGAAAACAGAGATGTAGAAAGCTTAGAAAGTGACCCGACTGAAAAGAAGTAAGAAATGGTGGACCTTGAAAATGACTTCAGATTTTCTCATTACGCAGAATATAGTCAAAGACTGCTGCAGTTAAATATTTTACCCTTTGTTCTCCCTGCATGATTTACAATAACAATCTGCTTCGTGTTGATATTTACTGCTGTGTTGCTGACAATTACCTGAAAGAGAAGTTGGGGTGCTTCACTGGGCTGGAAAAAGTTTAGCTACATCAGAAAACAGGTCTAATTAAGCAAGTTTATTCTATATCTGTAAAAGGCTAAGTTGACTCGCACATGCATGATAGATATAAAGCTTTCGCTGGCGCCAATCACATGCGTGTGTTTCCATCTGTCATTGTTGATCATAAATTTGGTTGACACTTCTATTATAGAGAAAGGGTGAATAGCGACATTAAAATATTTCTTCTAATTAATTTCCTTTCAATGTGCACAAACTTGTGCACCAGGCCACTAGTTGTGATATAGAGATGGGAAAGGAGGTAGTATGCTGCCTTTTCCATATTATTTCTTTTTTTTTAAAATAGATTTTTTTAATCCCCATGTGATAACAGGTTTATTGATTTGAGAAAGAAAGACTGAGAAAGAGAGAGAGAGAAAGAGAGAGAGAGAGAGAGAGAGAGAGAGAAACATCAATGTGAGAAACATTGATTGGTTGCCTCCCCATATGTGCCCCAACCTGGGGAATGGAACCCACAACCTAGGTATGTGACCTGACCGGGAATCAAACCCCACAACCTTTTTGGTGTATGGGATGATGCTCCAACCAACTAATCACCCAGCCTGGCCCATATTCATTATTTTACGTTAACAAAAAGACTGTAAGGCCATAGTTCCACTCACCCTAAAGCCAATCAAGACTTAAAAACAACTTTCCCAAGGCCACATAGCTAAATATTTGGTGAAGCCAGAGTTCAAAGTCAAATATGTCTAATTATGAAAAACTGTATCCTTTCCTCTTTTTTAGAATACTTTCCATAGCCCTCAATCTTTCCACTCTACTTCATACATCAAAAATTTAGCGGGGGTAAGGGGAAGAGATCAACCGAAGGACTTGTATACATGTATATAAGCCAAACCAATGGACATGGACAACAGGGGGATGGGAGCATGAGTGTGTGTCGGGGGGGGAGGTTGGGGGTTGATGGGGGGGCTGAGGACACATTTGTAATACCTTAATAATAATAAAAAAAGGAAAAAAAATTTTAAAAAAGCAAACCAGGTGCTAATTATTTAAAAAAATTATTTAAAGTTAAGAACAACTGTTTAAAGAAACCTGTCATTGAATTTATGTGCTCTGGTAAAATTAAACTGGAAAAGGCAGACACTTTTACAGCATCTTGTCCTCATCTGGTCTTAACAACCTGATCCCTACAGAGAACTCTATGTGCTGTAGCTCCAGTGACCAACATCTTGTTTCCAAGGCCGTTTTCTGCATAAAACTTTTGACTCAGGGCTCCTGTCACCAGCAAAATGTGAATGTAAATTGTCCTTTTTCAGGTGTGGAGGAAGGGTGAAGTGGATGATCTTGAGCCACTTACCTTTTACATGGCCAACTATAAACTAATTAGGAAAGTCAGAGGGGTGGGATAAAGGAAAAAGGGGTTTTCAGCTAAGAGTCCTTCTCTTTTTAGGAATATAAAGATAAACACTGTGAGGGGGGGAGGGTAAGGTTACATTTACTCACAAAGTATTAACTTATTACATCCTGAAGTAACACTCATGCCACAGGTTGACCAGAAAGCCTGCATGTACATATCTGCTTGAGCAGCGGTTCTCAACCTGTGGGTCCCAACCCCTTTGGGGGTCGAACAACCCTTTCACACAGGGGTCGCCTAAGACCATCGGAAAACACATATATAATTACATATTGTTTTTGTGATTAATCACTATGCTTTAATTATGTTCAATTTGTAACAATGAAAATACATCCTGCATATCAGATATTTACATTATGATTCATAACAGTAGCAAAATTAGTTATGAAGTAGCAATGAAAATAATTTTATGGTTGGGGGTCACCACAACATGAGGAACTGTATTAAAGGGTCGCGGCATGAGGAAGGTTGAGAACCACTGTGCCTGAGTAAAAAAGGAGAGAAACAATGAACTAGTTGTGAATGCAGTGTGTTTGGAAGACAAACTCTCAAGACATGAACTCCATAGGGAAAAAGCTGATAGGTATTTAAATAAGAGAGAAGCACTGGAACAACCTGGGAAAGTGCAACAGAATCAGAGTAAACATCCTTCATGGACATTTGGTGAGATTGACTTGTTTTGAGAGGCCCTGAATGGTCAGGACTCCTATTCTTTCATAAGCAGGTGTCTCTGGGTCATGAGATGGAGACGACAGTGAAGACATCCTAAATGGAGAACAAGCTGGTGGTGTCTGTAAGTTCCTCATATGGTCCCTGTTACAAGGTGCCCTGGAGGCCAGTCTACCTGTCCCCTCTCCCCCAGGTGACAGTCCCTGCTCAGGGAGGCTTGCTGGGTCTAAAAGAAGGAAGTAATGTGTATTGGGACAATAGTTCACATATGTTGGGGGATAGATGCCTTATGCATCCTTGACAATTAAGGAGGTAAAATGTTACCCTTTGTAATAAAAAATAAAATTTGAAAAAAAATTAAAAAAAAAAAAAAGGAGGTAAAATGTGACTGAGCTATTAATGGTTGCAAAGATATCTGAATACTCTTTCTGCACCGAAGGCCCTACCTACATTTTTCCACAGTTACAGTTTCTTTGCAGAGGTTTGAAACATGACCATTTCAAGCAGTGATTCTGAAATGGTGTTTCATGAAATCCTTTAGGTAGAGGAGGCACCGTTAGGTGATGGATACAGACTTGATAAACTGGTATTAGCTCCTCCAGATGCTGAATCAATATCATGCCAGATCTCTGTGGGAAGAAGTACACAGAGAATAATGGACAAGATTTCCATGGTTTCAAAACAAGCTGAACTGGAAGAGATGTCTCATTTCAGCGAGGTGAGGAATTCAGGGATGCTGCATCAGCAGCCAGCATGCATGGTAATGTGCCATCATCCGACCTGTCCTCCACCCTTGCCATGATGGCCAAAAATGAAACCATAAATGTACTACATCACACCATCTTCTGTCTCCTCTTCTTCAGTGCTCTCTCCTGGATCCCATTTCCAAGCACATTCATACATCTCTCCCACCACATAACCAAGATTAAAATTCTAGGCCAGCCTTCCTGTTGGATCTACATTACATTTCCAAATAGGTTGTGGCAACAAAGAAGTGCTCATCACTAGTCAACAAAAGAAATTCAGATGAAACAATGAGATCCATTTTTTACACATCAGATTGACAAACATTTTAAGATACTAGTAATTACAATATAGGTGAAGGTGTGTGTGGGAAAGGAGTTCATACAAATACTGCTGGTAGGAAAGTAAAGTAGTCCAGCAGGATAGTAATTATCCATGTAGATATTTTTGACCAACTCTAATTCTACTTGTAGAAATTTATCCTACAGATCTCCTTACTGAAATGGGACAAAATATATGTAAAAATATTTTTGCAGCACTGATAGCAATTCCAAAAATTATGTTGATAGGGGAATATTATGCATTTCTTTTAATGTGTTTATTTATTTAGAGAGAGAGAAAGGGGGAGGGAGAGAAAAACAACAATGTGAGAGTGAAACATGGCTCAGCTCCTCCTCATACCCCCTACTGGGGATTGAGCCCACAACCTGGGCATGTGCTCTGACGGGGACTGGAACCGGTGACCTTTTGGTTCATGGGATGACACTCAACCAACTGAGCCACACTCGCCAGAGCAATCATGCCTTTCTTAAAAAACGTGTAGTATATCTAAACTTATGGCATGAAAGATACTGATTGGTATGTATGATATGATCTTATTTGTCTAGAAAAAATACACATGTACATTTGCATATGTACAGAAGTTTTGAAGACCATACACTGAACCATTTCCAACTTTGGGAAGTAGGACTTGAGGGAAAGGGTGAGAATGATGACTTTTAAGTTTTTACCTTACAAACTTCAGTATTGGCTGAATATTTAAGATAAGCTTAAATTGCTATTATAATTTTAAAAATTAAAATGAACGATGGCATATCCTGTGAGGGGTTCCCTGAGCCCATTGATTAAAGCTGATGAAAGGGGAAAAGGAGAGCAGGTTTCAACTATAAAGAGTCTACCAGGAAAGAAAAAGCTGTATTTTCACACAGAAACCCTAAGCACAAAGGTTGTTCTACTGCTAAAGGAATATTCGATTTGAAGCAGAAAACTTACACAGAAAGTGATTCTCATAACAACCACTAACTACCAAGAGGGTCTAGTTATGTGACCACAATTACTATGCTGGGTGATACACACACATGCATATGTGTGTGTGTGTATCCTATCTAATAAAAGAGAAACATGGTAATTAGCTTATTACCACTACCCTTCCCATTGGCTAATCAGGGCAATATGCAAATTAACTGCCAGCCAAGATGGCGGCTGGCAGCCAGGCAGCTTAAAGCGAACATGAGGCTTGCTTGCTTCAGTGACGGAGGACTCCAACGTCCCCCGCCTGCCATGCCGGCCTCTGAGCTGCAACTCTAAGCAACTATGTTACAAATACAGAAGCTAAACAAAACCCCAGAAACCTGCTTTAGTCTGCCAGGCTTCAGCCAGCAGGATCGCAACACTGTTTCAAATACAGAAGGTAAACAAAGGCCAGAAACCTGCTTTTGAGCAACGGAGGCCTAAGAGCTGGAGCCAAGCCTCAAAGCTAAAGCTGGCCCAGAATAAGAAAAGAAAAAAAGGAGCGGTTGGGAGCGTCAGTCACTTGCCAGTCTGAAAAAAGCCCTCAGCCCCTCACCCAGACTGGCCAGGCACCCCAGTGGGGACCCCCACCCTGATCCAGGCCCCCCTTCAGGGCAAACCAGCCGGCCCCCACCCATGCACCAGGCCTCTACCCTATATAGTAAAAGGGTAATATGCCTCCCAGCACCGGGATCAGCGGAGCCAAGAGGCCTCCCGGCACCAGGATAAGTGTGATGGGGGCAGCGCCCAAACCCCCTGATCGCCCTGTGGCTCTGTGTGTGACAGGGAGTGGGGCCACAACCTCCCTATCCACCCTGCTCTGTTCATGACAGGGGAAGGCGCCCCAACCCCCTGATCAGCCCTGCTCTGTGCCTGATAGAGGGAGCTCCCCAACCCCCTGATGGGCCCTGCTCTAAGCCCTACCAGGGGCTGCACCTAGGGATTGGGCCTGCCCTCTGACACCCTGGAGCAGGCCTAAGCCAGCAGGTCGTTATCTCTCGCGGGGTCCCAGACTGGGAGAGGGCACAGGCCGGGCTGAGGGACTCCCCCTCCCCATCGAGTGTACAAATTTTTGTGCACCAGGCCTCTAGTGTGTGTGTGTGTGTGTGTGTGAGTGTGTGTATATAGCTACATTTTTTCTGAATATAAAATACACACATGCCCATTTCAAAAATAGAAAAATTTACTAAGAAATTTAAAGCCCACTTACTATAGCCATATTTATGCTGTTATAGCATTTCTTTATCCATGTCAAAATACAATATATTTTAAAATAATGGAATTATGGCTTTACAACTTGTTCCACTTACCCCCTCCAACCCTAATAATAGTATTCAAATATCTTTCTGTATCAGTAGATCTAGGTCTATCTCATTCTTTTTTTAAAAAAAAATTTTTTTTATTGATTTCAGAGTGGAAGAGAGACAGAGAGGCAGAAAGAGATAGAAACATTAGTGATGTGAGAGAATCATTGACTGGCTGCCTCCTGCATACCCCCCACTGGGGATCGAGCCTGCAACCCAGGCATGTGCCCTGACCAGAAATTGAACCATGACCTCCTGGTTGGTAGGTGGACACTCAATCACTGAGCCACACAGGCCTGGTTCATTCTTTTTAACAGCTGCATTGTATTCCATACTATTGATATATAATTTTTTAAAATCAATAACTATAACTAAGACTTCAATCAACTGTCCCTGCATATGAATCTTTGCATATGAGTACTTACAGACACATATTCCTAGAAGTGGAAGATAGCTTGATTAAAGGGGACTTACACAGGTTAACTTGCTTTTTTAAATTTTTATTTTGTTTTATTGCTTAAAGTATTACAAATAGTATTACATATGTTTCCTTTTTTTCCCCCTTGATCTTCCCCCGGCCTCCCCTACCCCCCAGCGTCTTGTGTCCATTGGTTATGCTTATATGCATGCATACAAGTCCTTCGTTTGATCTCTTACCCACCCCCCACCCCCAACTCGCTTTTTGAAAGTTTTACATCACTTCACTTTTATGAAAGACCAACCTTAGTACCTGTTTTCATTAACTGAAAGAAATCCAAAGAGGATATTTGCTTTTATGACAAAAGGTGAAAATTGAAAACACAGTGCAACATTTGTTTGGCAGGCTCACTGTTGTAGTATTGCCTTCCTATCAAGATTCTAGGACTCCAGCTCCCCCCTCCCCAGCCCCCAACTTTTTCCTTACAATACAACACACTTTTATTTCCCTAACTTCCTAACATGAAGATTTAAAAGAATTGGGTCAGTACTTATATTATCGAATGACTATGTACATTCTGTTCACTGTAGTGGACCATCATGACCTTTCCTTTCCTGTACATCTTTGTGTTGCTGCAGTTAGTAGCTACCTTTTTCTTTTCATCGGCTTAGATTTCTATGCGCCCATCACCATTTATCACCCTACTCTCCAGGAGCACCTTAAACCTCCTCTAACCCCTCAGGCTACTTCTCAGTGGTATTCCTTTTGGACCTCTGTCCAGGCTGCATAGGTTCATTCCTGGCCTGCTGCACAGCCATGGTTTTCTTTTTACTATCATTTTGGAGATTGTCTTCCTTCTTTTCTGCTTCCTGGGTCCTCTGGTCTTTTCTTTTCCTTTTTCTAAATGTATTTTAATAAGCACTGCCTTTATAATTATTCAAAGTGTGTATATATTTTTGGGACACCCTGTATATACAATGGAGTATTACTCAGCCATAAATAGGATGAAAGCTTACCACTTGGGACAACATGGATGGACCTAGAGGGTGTTGTCTTGGGTCGGTTCCTCTGTCTTTTCTATTCTTCTGTTTGAGAAGTTCATCTTTTAGAAACCTCCTGTGAAAGGGTGCATGGGCGGTATATTTCTTTGCAGACTGTTTTATGAAATGTCATTATTTTGCCTCCTCACTGGAGGTTGGAAATAATTTTTCCTCAGAATGTTATGGGCATTTCTCCATTGTGTTGCAAGTTCCAACAGTACTTTTAAGAAGTCTTGTTATTTTCTAGCTAGATCATTTTATCTCCTCACCCTCCCACCCCTCCACCCCCATCAGCCACAC